TCCAACTTTCGGCACGGAGAAGAAACTAAATTCTTCAGGTAAATAATTTCATTATAAAAGCTCGTTTTTCGTATTGGCAATTGTTGATTTTATATTGATAAGTATTTATATTGATAAGTATATTAGTATAATAGTATGATAGAGTTTAAAAATAAGAATGGAATTGTTGGATTTTGAGTGATGTTGACCGTATTTTGAAACCTAAGGTGATGATAAGAAATTGAGTGGACCAATCATTACCTTAGGCAATGATAATGATTAAAGGTGGTAAGATGATGGATGTACATATTGAATTAAGTTTTCTGTTAGGTTACTGTTGGAGTATTAGTTATGTTTTTGGGTTTAGATTCTTATGTCCATCTGATTCAAGTTTTGACATATTAAGATACGTAACTAAATATTAAGGATATTACATTATATGATACTATTAAATATAGGGAAAATGCACAAGTACCCCCTCAACCTATGTCCGAAATTCTAGAGACACTGAACTTATTTTATAAGTAATTTTCTACCCCTTTTTAGCCTACGTGGTACTAGTTTGAAAAAAAAAGTCAATCATCGTTGGACCCACAAGATAGTGCCACGTAGGTCGAAAAAGGGTAAAAAATTATTAATAAAATAAGTTCAGGGGGTAATAGGACCTTAGTATAGTATAAGTGTGTCTCTGAGATTCCAGGTATAGGTTGAGGGGGTACTTGGGCATTATCCCTTAAATATATGATATTCGGAGGAATTAAAATTTAACCATAAGCTTGAATGACGAAAATATGAGAGTTGACATATTAGTGGACATCAAAATTAGGAACTTGATTATAAATTGAGTGGGTTTTTGTATTTAGGCTAAACCTATAGTAAAATGAGTGTTGTTTGTTTTAAAATCTTATTGCGATTATGTACTTGAATAGATTGCATTGATTTCGAATCTCAACGAAAAGGGAAGGCTCAAGTCCTGGAGCGAATTGTTGATTTATTGAGTGGATTTCTAAACCCTTGTAAGTGTATGGAATTCATGTATTTCCTTGTAATATGTGTTCGGGGGTAATGAGACTTGGTGATGGATTAATTTGTCCACATTGATTAATTTTAATGATGAAACAGGGGTAACAAAAGGAAATGTGATTAATTGTTTGTATGTGATCTGTTGAGAATAGTTTGAAAGACTTGTTGAATCATTGATGATGTTATATCATGATTGTGTTATTGTGAATTGTGCAATGATGTGAAAATGGTCATTTCTCCATTATTTGTGTGAACAAGTCATTTGTATTGTTCTGAGACATGGTTGTAACAAGTGTTATGTGAATTGAGAAAGAACAAGAAATCAAAGAGGATGTATCATTTTGAGTAACATATCGCGCGCCACGATGGATACTTATATTGATGGACGTATCGGGCACTGCGATGACTATTATTATCGAGGGTCATCACATTTTGTGATGGATGAATGGACATATATGTCTCCCATGGGTCCCGGACTGAGAAACAATATGTGTCTATCTACGTCAGACATGCATCACTATACTTGACATTGCATTCCATTGCATTGCACATATTTATCATTAGTGAATTTGATATTGTGTTTTATTGATCTTGTGAGTGCCTTTCTATGGAACTTTGATTGATGAATATTGGGCTTGTTGCTGATGATATGTAATTGTTAGGGTGTTGTTGTTAAGATGTGTGCTATGTGAATTATGAACTGTTAGGTTTGACTGGTTTTCAGAAGGTTATAATTGTGGAGGTTGTAATTGATGAATATTGAGCTTGTTGTTGAGAATATGTGATTGTTAGAATAATGTTGTTGAGATATGTGTTTGTAAATTGTGAATTGTTAGGTTGTGTTGGATTTATGTAGGTTGTAGGTGTGGAGGTTCAGTTGGGGTGTAAGGAATACTTGTACTGTATCTCCTTAGGTTGTGTTTAGAGATATAATTGCTACATACTGTGTGATTTGGTACTCACTCCTTGCTACTACATTTTTTGTTGGTTACTAGCCCGAACCTGTGTGACATTATCTCTTCTCCTTGTCTGAGACTTTATGTGGAGGTTTGTGAGGTAGTTGTTTGTAATTTCAGCAGACCTTCCTTCTCCTTAATTATGATCTTGTTATATTCTAGAAAAAATGTCATTCAAAAAATGTATTTTCTTTCAACTTTGTTATAACACATTAGAGGTTTGTACAAGTGACAACCAGATTTATGAGGTACTTTTTAGGTGATTATACAAAAAATTCAACATTTTTTTAATGTTTGAGTTTTAGGCTAACTTATCTTGGTGAGATAAGACGAGTGTCATCACGTTCATTCTTGGTCTCGTGACAAGTCATCTCAGAATAGTTCTCCAAAATCTAAAGGATAAAGAGTTGTATGTCAAGTTCTTTAAGTGTGAGTTCTAACTTGAGCCTGGTCATTCCTGGGCCACATTATTTCAAGTGATGGGATTAGAGTTGATAATAAAAATAGAGGCAATGTAGAATTGTCCTAGACCCACATCCCCAACTGATATTTAGGAGTGTCCTATGCCTCTCATTTGTTTGCTTTTTTCCCTTGTCACATTGTTTATCCGTCTAATATAAGAAAAAAACTATTTCATCTTTAAAATATCACAATACTGATTATACTTGAAAAAAATTTTCAGCCTCCTTACGTTTTTCTTTTTTTTCCTTTAACCGTCCATCCTTGGATGTGCTTTCATCCAAGCCTTGGTTCATCTGAAAAGAAGAATTTTTATAGATAGATTACATAGCAATAAGTGAGACAATTGTAATATTAGAAGTGAGACAATTACACAAAACTAAAGCACGACATTGTTAAATATGTGAAAACTAAAAAAAGATGAATTTTACCTTTTGCTTCTACTTTTAACCTGTCTTATATTTGAAGTGATTCTTCACTATTTTGATTAAACTGATAAAATTACGAAAAAGTCACAATTACAAAAACAATAACTAAATTACATCGAAAATGAAATGTATACCTTATGAAAAACTCTTGCATTGTGTCCAGGAATCCCACAACATGAGCATGTCATTTGTGTCCCTCTTCATGGTGCAACCCACTCAGTTTGTCTCTTAAGTGCTTCATCTCTATGTCTTTTCCTATTCATTCTAGGTCTGCCAGCTAAGTTAACCAATTCTAGTGGTTCCATTTCTTGTTCTACTTCAATCTTCCAGAACTTTTGACCAGCCATTGGTTGTAGCTTACAATGGTAAGTCAAAAGATATGCCTCCTTAGAGTACCACCAGTGAATCTCTACAAATGGATCAAGATTCTTGTAAAGAAGAGCCCTGATTGAACGGGGACATGGTATTCCAGTAAGATCTCATATCCTACAGGTGCATTTCTTATCTGCCAAATTGACAATGTGTCCGTCATTTTCTTCACTTACCTCATATCTCCATTGAAATTTAATTCACACACATTAACAATCTTCAAGAATTAATTGTACATTTTAATAGTTGTAGGACTTCAATCACAGTTCCAAGTCATCAATTCATCTTCATTTTCGACAACTTGATCATAACTTTGATTCTTATCCTCAAGCATACCAATTATTAGCTTGTTTCTTGCTTCCAATATCCAAGATTTGAATGACTCAATCAAATTTTTTTCCACCATATTGTTCATGCAAACAGTGTCAAAAAATAGTATACATCAAGTTTGTATTGGAAAATCAACAAATGGTCTTTTCCTTCTTCAGACATTTGCTCTAATGTCTTCAAATGATCATCCAACTCCTCTTTGTATATGCTCCATACACACCACCACAATACCTTAGTCATCATATTAGATCTCTTACCTTTTTTTCTCTAGTTGGTCTCTATGTACCTCACACAAAATCTATGCATAGCATTAGGTAAAATATTTTTAATAACTTCAATTAATCCATGTTTACCTGTCATAAAATACATACAAGACAAATGAAAATACATAAGAAAACAAATAAAGATATATAAGATAAAGATATTGTAATAATGAATAAAGTAGAATAAAGAAGTGACAGTCATGAGAATTTACCTTTTACATATCAGACATGAATGTGATTCCTTCTCCACTGTTGATGTTTAGAGACTTCTGAAGTAGTTACAAAAACCACACCCAAGATGTCTTGCACTCTCTGTCCATAATAGCCCAAGCAATAGGCTAGAAATGGTTCATTGAGTCTTGACCAATAGCAGATAACAATTGACCTTTAGTTTTACCCTTTAAAATGTTCCGTCCAAGCAAATTAAAGGTCTAATCCATTCTTAAATTCATTCTTCAATGCGTCAAAACAAATATACATCCTAAAAACTTTCTTTTTTCATCTTCTACAGCATTTCTTGAAACCTTAAGGAGATTAGTCTCTTTTAAAGCATTTGCATATCCAACAAGGTTCTTATAATCATCACAAAAACGACCTTCCATTTCCTCCAAAACCAGTCTTTTAGCTCTCTTACACTTTTCAAAATGAGCATTAATGTTGAAAGTAATTTTCGTATCAACTCTCATTTTCTTTATCTTGTATTTGAAAATTAGCATGCAAATTCTCCTTAAAATAAAAGGTCATTGTAGTTGCACTAACCTTATAGTTACCATATGGATCCTTGCATTTATTATGCTCTCCTTTCAATGTTTTCAATCTAACACTAGCAGCATGCTTTTCACCATAAATTAGACATATAAAGTTGCATTTATCTTTGCAAACAACCCTAAGTCTTTTTCTGTCACTTTTTTTAATGGTTAAATTATAGTCATTTGTCAATGAATGCTAACTAATATATCTTCTAGCTTCAGCTATATCCTTAAATGTCATTGACTTGTGTAAATCCTAGTAACCACACAAGCTACCATCAATTACCCTCCCCCTTTCTTGTGCAAGAACCTCCAATTTTTCCGAATTATAATCGTTATTATCATTGGAAGTATTAATATCATTTTCAGTACCATCAGAAGTACAATAAGTAGATACATTATCAATAACTACCTGTCTCTAACATTTTGATTATATTCTCAACATCAATATCTAACTCACTATCATCTATAAAAATAATAAAATAATTACATCAAATTCATCATTAATAAAGGACAATAATATCATAATCCCCTCATCACCTTCAATTTAATAGAATTTTCAGAAGGGACAAATACTATCAACTGTTACACACCTATATATCTTAATATGTTAATGTACTCATTAGTAATATCTATATAAGATAAGAGATCATAATCATAACCTTCTCATTTGTGAAAATATTTCCTCTCATAGAGCAATTTAGGCTCTCTTATTCATTCCACAGCATAGTGAAATACTAGATCAACCAAAACCATTTTAGGCAACCTAAGACACACAAGAAACAACATTAACAACTTCCAAAAGCATGAACGATACAAAATAACTAAGAAGGGAAAAACAAAACACAATCAAGGCACACAGAGACAACATTAAAAACTTTCAAAAACAGTAATAACATTAACAAAACTCCTAAAAAGGCACGCAAAGACAACAACGGGCCACATTCTATAAGAATAAACATTGACATACTATAAAAAAAAAAGCTAAAAAAATAACTAATAAATTTGGAGAAAAAAGGACCTCATTCAATCAAGAATTTTCCAATTAAATATTGTGACTAGAAATCAGCTCATACTCAATAACATCTCCAAAACCTAAACCACCACCTCCAAATTCATACAATATCCTAAAACCTATCCACAAACCCTAAATCGTAAAAAATAAACAAACAATGAACAAATAGTGAACTTTTAGATATAAAAAGATAAATTATGTAACATCTCATAACTAGAAGTGGCTAGGAATAAGCCGAGAAACTAAAAATAATCACTTTTGCAAAGAAAGAGAAAAATCTGAAAATATTTCTAAGTGTAAGAAGTGAGTTTTGGTCATCTTCAAACGGTCATAACTTCTAGCTCATGATGTGTTAGAGGTAGTTATTGATATGGTTGGAAATCCCTTGGAGAGATATTTCCAAAGCGTTGAGTTTGCGCATTTTCGATCGTATGAGGGAGATATGGATGTCGGAAGTTGGGCTGTTGAAGTGAGAGAAATCCAATTCCGGATTTAAGGAAGGGTAAACTAGTCTTTTCACCACTTATTTTCCAAATTAATTTTAAGGGTTTATTAGGAGTAAAAAAGAAGACTTAAGTCAGTTTTGAAAAATCAAATTCACACTTAGGGCTTGAAGAAGAGAGAAAAGAAGAAGATAAGGGAGAAAACTCAAGAATTCGTCAAGAACATCAAAAACTTCGAGTGAATTTCGTCGGGGGTGATCCCTATTAAGGTATGTGTTGTGCTAGACAGTCGTTTACATGTTAACAAGTGAAGTTCTTGAAGAAAAATATTGAATTCTCTTTGATTGAATTATTGGATGCCTGTTGTTGTTTGATTCTAGTTTCTCCGAGTTTTTTTTGATTGAATTCAGTGGGTATTGAGAGTACCAATAGTCCCAAGTGTTTGGTGAAATAATTAAGGATGTTTGAAGGGTTTAGAGTTGAAAAAATTGTCAGACGCACATAGGCAAGGCCAGGCCCGTCGCGCATACTGTGCACCAGAAACTGGCCTCAGTCACATGGGGCCTAGCGCGGCGCGTCACCAGTGCGCTAGAACCAAGACTCAAATAATAAAGGTTGGCATGGTGCACCTCGAACACGCCCGAGTCGGCGTTTTTCGCCAAGTTCTCGTTGTTTAGCTTTAAGTCCTTCTAAGGTACATTAACACCTTCCAATGATTCTAATTACTTCAAATGATTTCTAAACACCTAGAAATCATTAAAGAACATCAATCATAACCTTGAACCATAATCCAATTCAAGGGAAGTTAAAGATAAAAGTCAAAGAAGTTAAGAGTCAAGTGTAAAGTTAAGAAGTAAGTCAAAAAAAAGTTCTTAAAGATTCTCAAGAGTCTTTATTAAATGTTTTAACTTCGTTTTAAGGCTCAAGTTCCAAGTTAAAGTAAAGAGTAAAAGTTGAAGTCTTTCTTTCAAGAAATATAAGGGAACTAAGTATTCGCTAAGAGTTGATTTAAGACTTAAGTTTGTAAGTTAAGCAAAGAGTTAAGAAATTGAATTCATTTATCAAAAGTTATAAGGGAACTAGATATTCCCTCAAAAGTTTATAAATGATTTCACATTTAAGTTAAGAGAAAATCAAGATATCCAAAAGAGTTTTGAACAAGAAAAAGGAACATTGATTCCAGGAGAGCTTTTTAAATGTGAAGTATTAAACAAATTATCTCAACCCAAGGAAAGAAAGTTGTTTTTAAAAGTATGAGCTAAAGTATATTTTGGGATTAGTATTGAGCACCGATGTGGGGATGAGATTCATAAAACTCAACTCTCCATGAAAATCATGTAGCTATCATGGGTATTAACGAGTCATACTTATTATATGATCACGTAAATTAAACTAGTAGATCCACTAAGTTAAGGAGTTCTATGCAATGACAAAGTATAGGACAATTCTGGCAGTGTGAGCAACTTTGTATCACCACTTAGACTCATAGTGGTGGTGTTCGGTTAGAGAATCTCCCACAAAAACTATATTACTTTCATATATAAGTAAAGTTGAGTTTGTTATTACATTTACTTTAACGAACTGGGTTGTTTACACTGTTTTACAAGCTTTATATATATTGCATGTGTCTCTATTTTTTAATAGTAAGTACAATAGTTCATGAGTTGAGCAGAGCCAAGGTAAGTGTTTTTTCTTACTCTATTCAAGCTTAAGTTTTGTTAGCATTTCAACTTGCATACTTGTACATTCAATGTACTGATGTTAGTTGGCCTGCATCGTATCTTGATGTAGACACAGGTAACCGAGATCAACATCATCCAGCACCTTGTTGATCCAACAGAGAACTCGAAGTCAGTGATGAGTCTCCTTGCATTCTGGAGGACACATTTATATGTTTTTCAGTCTTTTCTTTATTTATAGGATGTTGTCAGGTCTATCTCAACATCCATCTGAGTATGATAGAGGCTTCATATATAGATAGACAGTCAAACAGTTTATGTTTTTGGGTCTCTCTTCAATTGCATTCAGATATTGTATGTGAGACTTAATTTGGCCAGATATTTATTTGAAGTTGTTTTTATGAAAAATATATCTTATATTTAGTTAAGTCTTCCGCTGAGTTAAGTAAGTCAGGACAAGGGTCTCCTCAAGGCTAGCAATGACCATTAGGTGCGGCCACGTCTAGGGTGTAGGCTCGAGGCGTGACAAAATTCATAACTCAAAAACCTTAACCTAAAACATCAGCACTCGTAAATCAACAACTAAAGTAACAAATCGTTAATTTTTAGATGTAAAAAGTCAAACAAATAACCCAAAGACAGATTCCCGCACAGCCTAACTAACAGATCATTATATATATTGGTAAAAGGGCAAACAAATGAGTTAGAAAGACAAATACCCACAAACCCTAACTAACTTATTGTAATACATATCAGTAAATAGGAAAACAAATGAGCCAAAAATTTGGAGACAAATCCTAACTTGTAATCAACAACTAAATGTTATAGAAAGACAAATAATCAAATATGATTTGTTCGATTTGATACTTTGACAATGTTATAGAAAGACAATAATAAAAAATCTTACCTTTCGTTGGCGAAAAAATAATTTGTTGAGCAAGCTCCCCTAGCAAATTAGAGAAAAAGTTAATGGGTAAATTTGAGAGAATGGGTAAAATGGGCATTGGGTTAATTGGTAAATGGATTATCCTAGAGGAGTTGGGTCATTGGGTTAAAAATAGGGAATAAGATTTTTTTTAAATCGGGTTATTGGGTCAATTTTGGTAGGTTTCTGGGATTCCGTCTAATGAGGCTAATTTTGATGAAATTAGTAATGGTAAGGGTAAATTTAACCTCATTTTAACGGTGAGGGTAAAATCAAACAATAAACCAAAGTTGGGAGTATTTTTTACCCTTTTCCCAAAAAAAAAACTTCAAATAAATGGAGATGGATAAATTAAAAGAGAAATAAAAGTTATTTTAATGTAACATTTTTTCTAAAAAAATAATATGAATGGGTTGAGGGGAGCTAGACTTCGTCAACATGTTGTTTGTTGGCATTAATTTTATCTTGATATATTTCAATGATTTGATAGATTATATGCATCAATTTTCTTGTACTTTAGGCTCAAATGATTGATTTAGAATACTCAATGACAATAAAGCTAAGTATCTTTTAATATGTTATATGAATCAATTTGTATCTTACACTTTTTTATGATCCGAAAAAGATATTCTTTTACAAATGTGATAAAATGAAGCATTGTTATTGGTGGATAATGAACCTTTTTGCAGCATCCATACAAAACGCTTTTGCTCCTTCACGAATTTGTCACTCACCTTTCATAATTCTTTCTCCCAATTTTACAAACTTCTCGACTATTCTACTTTGTTCACTGTAATAGTATCCATAAACCTCTAATTTGCCGTTATATTACTTATTCTACCAAATAAATTATAGTGTCAAAAGTTTTGTAAATTTTGTAGCAACACAAAACTTCAAATGTTTTTTAATTTCATAATAATGTGCATTTTTAGTATTAATATATGTATCAATATTCACTGTAAGAATTACTCCTATCTTTTATTTGTTAGTATGATTTTTTTTAATACATAGTTGAATAAAAAAAATATCAAAATATGATTTAATCTTGTGATATTAAACATGTTACATGGTAAGTTAAAAATTAAAAGTTGCAAAAAGGAAGAAGAAAGAGACGTTATTCTTTTAATGGATTACAAGAAAATAAAACAAATAAATTAAAACAGAGAGAATAAAAATTATTAAACCCTAAAAGTAAAATATTAAGATTTTTAAGAAGAAGAAAAGGGGAAATCCAAAAAAAAAAAAATAATATATTTTCTTAAACTTTTCGATATTAGTTTACAGGTGAAAGGGACATCCCTTGTTTAAAAAGACAACGTCACTTCTCCAAACTCCATCATTAATAAATAGTTACATATGTTTGGAAAATACATTCCACACTATTTAATTATTATAATATTAAAAATAATAGTTTAAAATAATATTCTCTTTTTTATTCTTCAAAAATGAATTAAAAAGATTTGATACTATTATCAGTAAAGTGACATTTTCTAGAATGTATTAATAATTTTAAAATATAATATAAAATGATAGATCTATAGTTTAAAGCTAAAGGACAAACTTGAATTTCGAGCTTTAAAAATGTAGCAAGAAAGCTAATTATTGAGGAAAGCAATGTGAAATACAATTGAGATAGTCGATGTTCCATTTTCAAGTAAATGTAGAATTTTGACAGATTATCTAATTCTCCCTCCGTTCACTATTATTTATCATACTTTTTATTTTTAGAGTTTAATTACAATATATTTTTTCATCATATTGATATGCAAAAAAATTGCAATGTATAGTTTGGTATAGTTTTTAAATATCTAAATTTTTTGTTTAAAATATCGAATTAATGTAATCTAATTTAACTTTATAACTTAATCAAATTGACTTTAAAAAAGCGCAACATGACAAAAAAATAGAAGGAGAGAGCTAATTACAAACAATTTTATTCCGTATTTTTATTACTCCCTCCGTTTCAAAAAGAAGACCTAGTTTTACTTGGAACGAAGTTTAAGAAAAGAAATAAGACTTTTTAAACTTGTGATTCTAAATTAAAGTTATGTCAAATGTACCAAAATGCCCTTTAATCTTGTGGTTTTAAACATGTCAGGTAGAAAGTTAAAATTATACTGTTGCCAAAAAAGGAAATGGATCATTCTTTTTAAAACAAAGTAAAAAAGAAATAGGAACATTCTTTTTTAAACGGATGAGTATTTTATATTGTAATGTACTATTACTAACTAGAAATATTCTGTATAAAAAGAAGTAAATTTTAGCTAATCTCATGTTCTGCTGGAGAGTGAAATACACTACTGATGTTATGTGAGGGTCTTACCAACATGGATTGTGGTGCATTGATCGGAGTGTTACCTTTAATTAGAGGTTTCGAGTTCGAGTCTTGTATATGAAAACACGTCCTCCCCTCCAAACGAATCCTGCAGTGCGCAATCCAAATTTAATCGGAGCTACAAAGCGGGCTCAAAATAATGTTATAATTAGAGGGGTTATATATCCTCGCCTTTTATTACAACTCTTGTTATGCTTAAGCTTTCATGATTTTTATTCATGCTAAAGTGAGTTTTTTATTTCCTTGTTTCCAAGGATTAGCCAACCTTTCTTCAAGTTAAGCTTGGAAATGAGCAGTTAGATCAATTAACAAAAATTTGAGATACTCAACTCTTATCTAATAAATTCTCCTAAGGGATAATACAATGTTCAAAAATTGAGTGCAGAGCTTAGATACTTAACCTTTTAAAATCTTGACACATTGCACTAACGAGTAATGGCAGAAGCTAAATTGCACCTGTGTCAAATCCTTCTAAATACACTATATTTGGAGGATCCTACATGCATTTGTCGATAGTTTTGAAGAGTCCGAGCAACATAAGGCACAAGCACATGGCCATAATGCTCAGAGGCATTGACATCACGAAATTAAGAGAATACGTCTCCTTATTGAGGCATAACATACATCAGACAGAACTAGATGTATATAACATCTTCTTACAGCAGTACAAAATGTGAGATATCAGAGTGGAACTAGAATTATCAACAAATTTTCATGAGGTAATAAAAAATCTCCAACATGTTATATCCCTACTTCAATGTTGTGTATCGGCTTCATACATCTTTCACTCATATAGTAGGCAGTAGGCACAACTAAAATCAATCAATGGCAATAATGAGAAATCCAACAGATACATACATGAGTACTACAGGATACAGGGCAAGAGCTTTCCTTCTAGGGTTAACAGCTGTACTCATGAAGGGGTATGCCGCCCAAGAGCTCCAAGCTAGTGCAACACATACTACAACTACCTTCAATATCACGTTGTCCTTTAGCATGCAAATGAAAGCACCAACATCAAGCGGGAATAGACAGTAACCCAGCAGACTGAGACTTTGGAAGAAGATTATATGACCGCCCTGCATGTCAAAATCATTAATCCATCTGAAGTAGAAGCAGCATTGTTTACATAAATACCGTGACTCCATATTCTTCAGAACTGCAAAAAGGAAACATGCTATATCCTAGATACACAAGACGGCTTAATAGAGTTCCTTTCATCATAAGAGCTGCTGTAATGGTTTTGCTTTTCGGGACTAGTGCCTATAGACTGTATTCCTTGACTATATATGCACTAATTAGCTGTTCTTTTTCCTATCCATTCAAATCTCATATCTCTTTGAATTTTTATAATATGTCTACTTACTGCTTAAAAATCATTAAACATATCCATCATTAGGGTGTTTTTTATCTTTGGTTATTCTCGTTTTACCAAAGATAGGGTGAGAAAGTGTCATTACCAGTAACAATACATTCAGTGTCAGAATGACAGCACCGGCAGCCAGCAGAGCAAATGCAACAGCAAAAACCTCAGACTGGAAGAAAATATAAAGAAATAAGAAAGAAAAATAAACCCATTAGTCAGGAGTCCACCTGCATTAATGTGAGTCTGTGAATCATCTATACAACCATAGGCAACTGCATTAAGTATTAAAGAACTCGAAAAATAGAGCATGGGTGCATAGACTTGGTGCATGAACAAGACAATGTGTTATGATTGGGAAAGATTCAGCCTGACCAGGTTTCAATAGTCTTCAAAATGATCAAGATTATTTTTCGTATTTAATGTGTCTGCAAATAACTTAAAGTATACAACCTCTTCATGGTTTGTCCTTGGGTCCATAGGAAGTCATATAAGAGACAACTCGTAATAGAAGCAACAAAAAGGCAAAGTAACTGAAGGTTTGTTTAGACATGAAGAAGATTTGTCCACATTGGGAGGAACAAAAACTGCACAATTTTGTGTTTAGGACTCGAAGTTTTCTTTATACCTTCTTCTCTACACCTAGAAAATGTACAAAGTACAAACTGTTCAGCTTCTTCTATACCTTCTCTACACCAAATATCTTATTTCTCTGCTTTTATCATTTAATCAAAGCTATCCAAAGGCCACAATAATTCTTGTAACTTCTGCTCTATGAGCATCTGCTATTGGTAGTCATCTATTTCTACTCCAGGTTATTTAATTGCGCACCATGAGATGACTTGTCAAAGTAGCACTAGAGATTTAGAGTGGTACAAGTGGCTTGTCACGATTCAAGGCAAGGTCGAGTTCAGTGCACAAAGTAAACGTATAACTGTTTCTGATTTGTGTTATTATTACTTAGCCAAGCAACTATAATCTAGACACCCTATCAAGTTCATGGCACATGTCCACAAAAAGACATCTATATTGAAGAGGATGTCTAGTTTAAGTTGCTCAGCAGAGAAAGATTCACCCATCTTTCTGCCTGAGACAATCAATATGAGTACAGTGTGATCTATAGTGGCAAATAGAAAGCTACATAGTAGAAGTTGAAAATTATTTGGCAAAAAAGATAGTAGAAGTTGAAAATCTAGGCAATTCCAAGGGGTTTCACTTGAGCTGGACTTAGATGATGAAACAGCAAGAAATCAAAGTACTAAAGGTCAGGTAGAAAGTAGAGCCATCTTTAACGAGACCAGCAATACAACAAATGAGAGTTGGTACATGAGAGGGAAACAACAAGAGTGCACCACTTCTAGGCTAAGGATGTAATAAATAGTCTACACAGCTTGCCCTCGAGACCTCGGTCTAGTGGTAAGAGTGCAACTTCTTTATCCAAACTATAGATCCAAGCACACCAACACTATATGTTCGTATTATCCCTTCTTTATTTTGGATCATAGAATCAGAAATTTTATAAGTAGTCAATCAAGGAGATGCAAAGCTGTAGGGACACATTAATCCTAAAGCCGACAATGTCAAAGTATGCCTTTACTACTACATTTCTTATAAGGGTAAGGCAGGCTTCTAGCAGGACGAGTGATATAAGAAGTTATGTTATAACGTTTTAATTTGTTGTTGACAATTTTGATGGTCGATAAGCAAGTATTTCAACAATTCCTTTCAGGTTAATAACTGGTTTGTGCTTCTCCACATTCATACCATCTCTCACTCATATGCCTTAGACTCAATAATGTCAAACGACTTCCCCACAAATCTGAAATAAATAAAATTATCCATGGCCATTAAAAGACTTAAAAGAAGGAAAAGGAGAATAAGAATAGATCTCGGCGATCGAATAACACCGGAGAAGGTATCCAGAAGTCTGAGAAGGATCTTAGGGAACTACCTCATTAATCGAGCCTGAGAGCATATTAGTACCTATTTTTTTTCTAAACAGGAATCTAGGTGTTTCGAAGATATTTGTAGTTCCTTAAAAAAACGTAAGATGAATTGTATTCTTAACTTTTGTTATTGGTGTAAATTAGAGTATATAGATTATTTTATATCTGTTATAAACATCATAAGGCACTTACTAAGATGATAAAGAGCTTAGCTTTGTCTCTTGTTTATACTTTTGTTTGGATCCACTGAAGTAAACATTCATTTACGTTGCGAACATTATTCTATTTATGATTTATTTATAGTTTGTGCCAATAGCCACAGAGATATAAACTCTAGGCATGTTGGACTTCCGTGCACAAACTAAATAGAACTATTTCCATTCAACTGTGTTGTTTTCATAGTCATTTTTACACCAAGCCAACTATACCCTAGCAAGTCTATGGGACATAGCCACAAGAAAGCATCAGATTTTAAGGGGAAGGAGTAGGGCTGCCAACATGATTACAATGTGAACTGTAATAAAAATAGACAGCTAGATAGCAAAAATTTGAAAATTAGGCAATTCCAAGAGTTGTCTTTTGGGCTGGATCTAGGTGAGGAGCCGTAAAAGAAATAAAATGGTTGAGATTCATGGTAAAATGGAGAGACAATTTAGAAGTAAGCACATTAAAGAAGTGGAGATAGAAGAAAAGAGAACTGGACCGAGGAAGGACAGGCAAGAAACTACAAATATATTTGTTGGTTTTTTTGTAAAAGAAACAACAATCCCTCAAATCCCAGATCAGTTGGGCTGGCTGAATGAATCCTCTAAGGTCAATTCCGATTCATTCAGGCTCATTACATACCAATACTGTATAACAAGAAAGGGAAGAAAAATGTAGCTTATGATTCATGTCATACCATGGTATCAAAGCAAAACTCATTGATCCATGTTGGTGTGCTTCTCAATGTTGGAGCCCTATGTAATGTCATACACGTTCCGGTTGTCCATTCCTCATCTTACAGGGGAGTGTAAACTATTAAGTCCTATATTAATTGAGGGAATAGGGTGTGCTCTCCTTTTATGATCATAGGCAATCATCCCTCATAAGCTAGCTTTTGGGTTGGATTGGGTGAAGATCATATGGTATTAAAGCTAGACTCATCCTCTTTCTTGGTTTACCCAATACTGGGCCATCATGTTATGTTTTCCATGCCATAGATGTCCAATCTTAGGCTGGTGAGAGAGTGTTACTAGTGACCTATTGATAATGAAAATGGGATTGTTACCTCTTGTATGGGACAATCCTTCCCTCATGAGTTAATCTGGGGTTGTTTAGGTCCAAAGTCCATTTCATAAACAATTTATATAGGGGAGAAAAGTAATCACAGATTTCTCATTTTTCCTTCGAATAAGTTGTGCATCTGATATTGAAACAAACACCATAATCCTTTTGTTTGGTGGTATGACAAGTTATCTTTTTGACATCTGCAAATTTTGATCGAGCTGTTTGCCAATACATAAAATTCTTGATTGTTCATTTGTTCCCCCGGCACTTGTAATTTCCAAAGCATTATCCTTTCTTTTCAGCTATTACTTGATCTAATTGAGTGCCCCTTGTGGCAGTGTTACTTAGAATTATACATCAAAACTACAAAACATGCACAATCACAAAAAGAAATGCTTCTAAAACATTTTCAGAACTCAGTACCTTCTAACACAAGACGAAAGTAAATTAGACTCCACCAATAGTTTGAACAATGAAATAGTAAATGGGAGTTACCTTCTTAACAGAAGCAGA